CCTACATATCAAAACCGCAGGAACTTCCGATGCCTCCTGGTAACAGGTATGTGTAGGTAAGTATCTGTGAGGTCTACTGATGTCAGGACATCCCCCTCCCATATGCTCCCTAGTATAGCTTGCAGGGACTGCATCTTGAATCTCCTGTATACTATGTGCCTGTTTAGTAATTTGAGATCCAAAATTGGTCTCCACCCCCTGACGCCTTCTGCACAACAAACAGGTTTGAATAGAACCCTTGTCCCTGTTCATCCTCTGGTACCACATGTACTGCCCGAATGTCCAGCAGATGTTGAACTGCTGTTTCCATAATTAGCCTTTTGGTTCTGTCCCTTGGCGTCAGGCATCTTCTGAATGAGCTCAGGGGTATGGAGATGAATTCCAGAACTAGGCCTTTTCTTAATGTGTCTAGGACCCACTTGTCCGTTGTAGTCGATGCCCATCAGTCAGTGAATAGGCCCAGCCTCCCGCCAATGGGCGCATTGTTCCGGCTGTCACTTTGTATGCCGGAAGGCCCTGCCAGTCAAACTCTGGAAGGGGCACCTTCCCTGGGACCGTTGTCCACCCCTATCTCTAAATCCTGACCTATCTGGATGTCTAGAAGGGGTCTGTGTGTACTGTCTCTGTGTGTATGGGGAGTGGCTGAAGCCACCCCCCGAGATAGGAAAGGGCTGTTGCCGTGTATATGGAGAAGGTCGCCTATCCTCCTGACCAAGTTTCCTGGGTAAGACCTTCCTCTTGTCCTTGGTTTCAATCAGTAATGGCTCAATGGCCTCCCTGAAAAGTTTGTCCCCTTTAACTGGAGCTGATGCCAGTTTCCATTTATGTTTCAGATCTGCCTGCCAGTGGCGGAGCCAAACAAGTTGCCTTGCAGCCACTGAAGCTGCGATGGCCTTAGTTGCGTACTTGACCCCATTAAGTGTGGCATCTGTTATGAACTCTGTTGCAGCAGTTATTTGGTTCAAATCCTGTTGCAATCGAAGATCGCCAGGTGGCATCCTTTCCTGCATCTGTTCAATCCATATCATGACTGCTCTGCTGAAAAATGATGCAGTGGACGTTACCTTTACTGCCCATGCCACGGCCTGGTGAACTTTTTGTACAGTCTGTTCTGTTTTCTTATCCTCCCCTTTTAGACCATCCTCAGCTAGACTCTGTAGAAAATCTCCTTCTCTTGGGGGAGGGCTCTTCATTGCATGCCTGAGAGCATTGTCTTTCTGATTCACTCAATCCTTTGTTCACACAAAGAGCAGGCTGAAAAGGCTGATCTTCAGTGCCCTCTAGTGTTGTGCTCCTTTCCTGATACTTCACTTTCATTGGTTTACCTGTTGGAGCGTGGGAATTTCCATTCTTCTCTGCCTCCTTTTCCATCCTTGAGAAGCATTTCTCAATGGCCCTTTGTCTCCTTAATGCTTCCCTCTCATCTGCCTTGGACACCCTGCTGAGAGGCCTTTCTGAAGCTCTCCCAGCCTCTCTGGGTTCCTTTATGCTTTGCTCTCTGTTCAAACTGGGGACAGGGGAGTCCTGTTCCTCCAGGCTTGCCTAAGTTTCAGAAAATTCGGCCATAGTCTTTCCCTTTGGCTTTTGCCTATAGAGTATATTCAGACCGGCCTGAGCATGGACTCTAGCCTCCCTTTCTCCCGGGTAGACTCGTGTGGCTGTGATGAAAGCTTGCTTAGCCTAAGACTGAGTTTGCCCCCAATTAAAGAGTACGCTGGAGGCTTGTGTGGCTTCTGGTTTGTTTAACAAAGGCCCTGGGAAAGCTGAGTTAATTTGCCCTCCTTCTTTGCTAGCCAATCAAGAGCCCGCCCGCTCTTACTGAGGCTGCTGCCGCTTATTCTCTTAACACCAAACAGCTATGTGGGCTTTCCCGTCTTGGGATGAGGTCCCAGCTCTTTCACTTACTCACGGTTTTCTGACTTTCACTCTTTCTCTTGTCTGTGGACTTCCGGTTTGAGCTTCTTCAGCGACAGACCGAAACCTCATCTCTGCGAGGCTTCGATCCGTGCTCGCCGCTGGAGCGCCCCGAGCCGGCTGGTTTCGGGGCTAAGCCACCCCGTAGAGGTGGTGAAGAGTGGGGAGACTGCCAACAGGGTTGAGGAGAGCCACATCTCTCCTCCCTAGCTGGCCATTACTCCCTTTCCTGAAGGCGGTTGCAGCGGTGGTCAGAAATGGCCACCACAAAGAAGAACTCGACCGGAAAAGAATGTGCAGGAGGAAGATAAAAAGAGAAAGTTTTGGTTGACCGGGTCAAACAGCAAAAGCAACAAATAAGGTACCCTGGAATTGAAACTGTTGAAAAACAATAACATTGTTCCCTAAGAAGATTTTTAAGCTGTGAAGGAGAGAGAAAAAGGAAAAGATTTGGTTTTCTCCTTTTCCTATACTGACAGCTAAGAGACTTAAGCAAGAAATTGGGAAAAAATCCACTTTGACATCAATAGGCATTTAATGCTGAAAATAAAAGGTCAAAGGGATAATAAAGATTTCTGGATAATTAAAAGCTTTTGAAAACAGGAAAGGAGAGAAAAAGAATAAAAGGGTAGGATCTGGAAGGGAGGAGACTGCCTGGAATTAAAAAAGAACTTACAGCAAAATCTCAACAAGACTTCCAAAAGATACATTCTAACTGAAATATCACAACAAAAACCCCAGGAAGAGAAAGTCGAAAAAGAAATAAGAAGATATAACTCAGGACTATCTGGATTACTTGATGATTTCTGGATTCTTGGTTATTGTTTTGAATGACTAAAATCAATCGGGTGGTTGTTTAAAACTGTTTAAAATGGCTCCACTTTTAGAAGAACTGAAAATGGAACTTAAAAAGTACAAAGAAGATGCACAAGAAGGGATAGGTTCTTTTGGCTTCGTATTTCAGTTTTTAGAAATGGAGATTTGGAATTATGAGAAACAACAAGAAATGCCTGCAGAACAAGAAGATTGAGACAAAGAAGAAGCCATCTTTAATGAACAAGTAATCTTAGATGGGGGGGGGGAAGGAAAGGGGGGAAAGAGAATGGAAAGTTTAAGATTGGAAAAAACAACTCCCCCCAAAAATAGAGTGAAAAATAAGTATAAAATCAGAAAGCAACAGAAGAGGGAAATGCAGAAGAGAGAATTAGAACTAGAGAGATAAGGGGGTAAAAAGGGGAGGGAGAAGATGAGAGGGAAGAAAGAAAGGAAAAGAAGTTATAAAGGACAGAAGCAAAATGTAGAGAAACAGGGCCTATTTAGAGATAATGGGTGAAAACTTAATGGAAAAAGGGATTCTGCAAAGGTACATAAGATAGTATGGTTATATTAGAAGCAGAAATAATTTTAGAAAATATGAAACAATGTATGATTAAAATGTCTGATAAAATAGCTATCGTAATTCAGTGGAATGCTTGTCAATAAATAAATGTAACAAAAGGTATATTTAATGATTTATAAAACATATGTGAAGAGAAATAAGGGGAAAATTAATTATGGAGATTATATGTGTTTTTAAGGAAGTATGATATTTAATTGAAAAGAAGTGTTAAAGATGTTAAGATTTTAATGATTATTAATGATAGAACTGAACTGGAATGGAATGAGGGTTTATAATTACATATATTTACAATCTTTCTTTCTTTTTTTAAAAGAATATAGTGTGTATTATAAGAATGTGCCAAGCAGAATTCGATTGGAAGTTATGTATTATGTATTATATTGAAGGTCATAAACTTAAGGTATATATTGAAGTTTAAATAAGAGTTGAATGGATGTAATTAAAAGATATAAAGGTGTCATACTCCAATTAGTAACTACAGGAGAAAATTTGTTTAATGAGAAAAGATAATATGAAATTGAAACAGAACAGACAAAAGTATAAATATAATGATTTGAATTGAGATGAGATAATCAAAATAAAATTGAGAAAATTAAAAGAGGGGAAAAACTATATAGAAAATGTAAAATAGTATAAGATATGGAATAGAATACAAAAAGGAGCATAAAATTGAGTTTTGTGTCTGTATAAAGAAGTTCAACTCGGGACCATGCTATTTTCAAAAAAGATGTTTTACTTGTATTTTGTATGTGTGAAAACCCAAATAAAACTTTATTAAAAAAAAGAAGAAACAAGAGCAAAGTACCTAAGAAAAACCTGGCATACTTTCGATGGTAATCATCATAATTCTCATAGTTAGATGAGATACAATCATCTAACTATCAATTAACTTTCAAGGCACATTATACCAGCACCATTAAATAAATATAAAGAGTATATATTTTAACCCATGGGGGTGGGGGACAGGTATAGTGAAATCTGTAGATCTTAATATATATTAGCATATTACTTGGATAATGGAAAATCATTTCAAAACACCAAATTAGAGTATATTCCTGTCAAATGTCTCTTCTGGAGAACACTCTTTTAACATGGAAAAATAAAACATACTGTTTTTAGTCTGGGAAGTATTTTTTTTCTCCTTTTAAAGAAAATGATGTAAAATTGTCATTGTCAGGCTAGAGACAAAGTCTCTAAAGACATATTGCAAAGTGCTAATGAGGCAATGGTTCTCCTTTAATCCAGCAGATACATTGACAAAAAATATAAACTGCATACAAGTAGCATGCACCAATCTTTTCTGCAGATTGGTGCATATTACTTCATATATATATGAAAATGGCTAGAGGAATGTGCCCAAAGAAAGTACTTTTTAGTAATTGTTTCTATCTAAGGCTTTTAAGAAACCTGGAGGATGAAAACAACATACATTTCTTACCCTTTTTATTCAAAGTTTCCTACATATTCCCTGCCCTCAAAAAAGTAATTGCTTTTCCTTCCAGCCATTTAGATTCTCAAAAAGAAAGGATTTTTTTCTTCCACTGAAAAAGAGGGCCAGAGACTAAGAAATGAAATATTGAGTTTTGTTATAGGTTGGCTTATTTTGTCCATAGAAAAAGCAGGCTCTTTTTCAATCCTACAGCAGTCTGGGGAAGTGAGAAACAAGAAGACGAAGTAAACAGACTAGACAGATTTATATTTATTTTTATTTCTCATTAGTCCTTGCACATGTCAGAGGACTGGGGCTGAATCTGTAGTGAAGATTAGTTCTTAAGCCAAACTGTTCTTTGTCAGCTCATTATCTTGGATCACTGTATCATTACACCAACATTAGCTCTATCCAGGAAGAAATATTTACAGAAATGTGCACATAATGACATATATAATAACCATTACTTATGAAAAAAGTTATAATGCATCAAACATCCTTCTGACTGCAGCTTAAAAATTTTGTTTTAAATGATCCAGAAATAAGTTGATAGAATTCTGATGCCCTCCTTACCACTAAATCGTAGCACAAAGCTAACAATTCACTTGAAATCATGAGGGAACATAAGGTGGACTTTATGCAGTTTAGAGAGAGTAATAATGTTGAAATGAAATTTTTCACTGAGGCAGCAGAAACATTGTCAAGAACACAGGGAGAGCTGCACATCTTCTCCAATTTAATCAGTTTTTCTTCTTTGGAATGGCTTTTTCAAATTATGTTTTTTTTCCTTCTGCTTCTTTTTTTTTAATCTTGCTAAAAGAAAAGGTTTAAAAATGATGATTATGCAACACCTTCTCTGCATCTGCAATTAATATTTCTATAGTTAGCCCATAAATAAAACTTTTGCCTTTGAAATGGAAGAGAAACATTGGAATAGAAATTATGTCATTAGACACTCTCTGCCAGACCCACCAATCGCACTACTGAATATGACAGGTTCATGTTGTCCGCCTAGTTTTTGATGTAAAATTTATATGATCTTCAAAACATTTCAACTGTAGGAATCATTTGATTCTTCCTATTGCTGGCATAGGGAATAGGCAACCGTTTAGGCTGCTTTGAGGTTGTGATTTCAATATGACAGAATGTGAAATGCAGTAGCAAGAATAATTCTAGCTAGAAAATACAAAGTTGTGAAAATACCTGGGCCTCTTAAAACCTAAAAAATATAGGTCAACATTTACAAAGTATTTCTGAGTTGCAGTTCTATATCCATTATCTTTGAGTCAACAGAGATAGCTTAGGAGTAGACTTGTACAGATTTGCAGTCTACTTGAGTCTGAAAGAAGAGAAGAGGAACATAAGGGAAAATAGATTTTGTGTGTGTGTGCGTGCATGCGTGTTTGATGCAATTCTACTTCCATTGAATTAAACATAAATTAATTTTGAAATAATAATATCCTTTTTAGAAAGCCAGCTAACAGCATCAAACTTAAAACAAAGAAAAATATATTCTATCAGTACATTTTCTAGTGTATCAAAAGAAAGGGGAGGTTACTTTGGAATACTAACCAACAAATTGATTGCTCTGTTTAGAAACAAAGCAGGTGTCATTTGGAGAGAAGGGAGGAGAGAGGAAAGAGAAAAAAGAAAAAGGGGAGGGAAGGGGATGTTCATATTGGTCAGAGATGTTGTCCCAAGCAGCATATGGATGGCCAAAAATTTTGTTTCTATCATCTTGTACTGACAGTGTAGACTGGAAAAGAAGCATTATTTGGACTGTGCACATCCCCAAACAGACAAAAAAAAAAGCAAACAGACATAAATACTTAAAGCAGGGAGAGTCATCTGTTATTTCATGGTGACTGTGTTTAGTAGGGGACCAATGGGACACTGGTAGACTTTGCAATATTATCTTCAACAAGGACAACTTAGGAAAATCTATGTTTTTTTTTAAACTGCTGGAGATTAAACGGATAGCATTAGTCAGGGGTGGGCTTCAAAATTTTTAGCAATGGGTTCTCTGCTGGGTGGGCATGGCCATGGTGGGCGTGGTCTAGTCAGCCTCCTGCACCACGGTGGGGGGGGGCATTTTTGCCCTCCCCGGGCTCAGGAGGCTTTCCTCGAGGCTCCGGGAGGGCAAAAAGGGCCTCCCCAGGCTTTGGAGGCTCTCTGGAAGCCGGAAATGGGTCCCTTTCTGCCCTTCTTGAACTTCTGGAAGGCCCGTTTTTCACCTTCCCCGAATCTCCGCACACGGCCTGCACTTACCCGCATCCAAAATGGGCCACATAGGGACTCCTGGGAGGAGAGGGGAAGGGTGGGCAGGGCCAGCCAGGAGTGGGATTTGGGGGTTCTCCGAACTGTGCAGAATCTTAGCTAGAGGATCTCCCGAACCGCTGCAAATCCCCAGCAGCCCGCCCCTGGCATTAGTACCTTGAGCTTTAAGATATCTATTTAGCAATTTGATTTCCCAAATCACAAACATTTCTCTGAGTTTACTTCAACTAGACAATTTGGATTTTAGAAATTGGAAAATATGGTTCTGTAACAAAAAGCACTACACTGATTTGACAAGAAATGCTTATTTATTGTATTTATGTTGTGCTTTTCTTTGCTGAAACAATCTAAAAGTGAGTGATTACACCATTCCTGTTTAGGAATAATTAATTTTTTTCTCTGTGAAGATAAATCAGTAGCCATGTTTAACATGAAATTGGAAAATGAAATTAAACATGAATTAAATGTGTTTTTGCTTTTAGTAGAAGGGGTATATGAATTAACAGAATTGGTAAATCATATATTTAGAAATAACAAAATAACCAAGTAGGAAGGTCTTCTAATTCAACCTCCTACTCAGGCAGGAGACCCTATACCATTTCAGACAAATAGTTGTCCAATCTTTTCTTAAAAACCTCCAATGAGGTTTCAGTGAGGCTTCAGAACCCACAAGTTCTGAAGACAACTCTCACTGTCAAGAAATTTCTCCTTCTACTGCCTGGAGAAAAATTCTGGAACAAGTCATTGTTTGAGAGTGGAGAAAATGGAATAGGCTTACCTGTCTTCTCTATACTTTTCTTGCATTCCTGAATATGTTAAGCTTGTTTCTTTTTCTGGAAAACCCTCTTCGCTCAGGTCACTGTAACTGTCACTAAACAAAAAAGAATAAGTGATTTAAGAATCCAATTTTCACATCTATTTCTCTCATTGCAAAAGCAGTCAGCATTATGGTTTTTTTCAGATTTGTTCATATTGATGCAAGAATTAAATCAACTAACTCTCTCATTGAAATCAATGGTGCTTAAAAATACTTAGCTTCAGCTTGATTCAGTCCTTAGGGTAATTACACAGTACTCATTTCATCATCTGTCTTCCTTTGGAAGGCATGTTTGTTACCCCAAGAATAATAAAAACTTCATTCTGTAACCATGTGATTAAATTACCAAAATATAGAATATTAATCACAGGAAATAATAGTTCATAAACAATGCGGTTAGCTGAATTGACTCTATTTTCATCCAAAGAATTTGATATGAAGAAATTGCTTTAATATTTTTTATAGTAAGATAAATCAGCAAAGCCACTCTATGTTTTAAGAGCCGTGGTTGCACAGTCTTAGAATGCAGTATTGCAGGCTAACTCTGCTGACTGCCAGCAGTTCAATCCAAGGTTGACTCAATCTTCCATTTTTCCAAGGTGGGTAAAATGAGAACCCAAATTGTTGGGGGCAATATGATGACTCTGTAAACCGCTTAGAGAGGGCTGTAAAGCACTATGAAATGGTATAAAGCACTATGAAGCTAAGTGCTATTGCTACTTAAAATAGTGTTTTCACATGAGTCCGAAAGCTCAGAAGATAAAACCTCTGGTCCTAGTGACCGATTCAGATTGGCTACTGCAGTGTTTCTCAAACACTGTTTAAGATGTGTAGATTTTGACTCCCAGAATTTCAAATCAGTTGCCAAGTCTGAGAAACACTGCTTTAGAACGTAAAGGTTTTTTTTTAAATCTTGCTGGATCAGAGAAACCTAAATGGATTTCTTGGTGTGTGTAGTAATGTTTTACTGCTACCTTTTCTCTTCTTAGTATCTTAATATTTATTGAAAATATATGTCAAGGACAAATCAAGGAAATAACAATGAATATAGCATGTGGTTTTATGTATTATACCAATTCAATCACTATGGCTTGTATACTGTTCTTTATGACTTGCATGATATGTGAATCCAGACAAGTGTGGCTCAATGTTCAGAATATTTAGCATATTTTTAGTATCTTGTGTGAACATAATCTTGATATGTAGCCTTGAATGCAATATATATCAGACAACAGTGAAAATAATCAATAAGATGAAAGACTATGAGAAAAAAAATCCTTAGCAAAAATATAAACTTGCTCAAAATATTTTATTTCCAAATTAAAATTTTCCTGAAATTATTTTTCTAGTAATCATAATAAGAACTACAACCACTAATACAGACTCTGTTTGCGTGAAATAAACAAACAGCTGTGTTCTGATTTCCAAATTAAATAATTATACTCAGAGTACTACAATAGAACTTTTAAGGTAAGCTGTGTTCCAATTCAACAAAACTGACAATATTTTAAATGTAGTACAAGAGATTTAAGGTTAGGGTTAGTCAAAATAAGCTCCCAAGTTGTTGCTTTCTTGTCCTATAGTAGGTGTAACACTTTACTCTGTTGGCAAACCTATGGTACAGTTGTTAATTAATATATTGAAGTTATACTTTGAAGAAGCAGGATAGTAATGCTGTTGAAATTTTCTGTTGGAGAAAACCCCGAAAAAATGTAAATGGATTGTCAAGAAAACAAACTAATATATTATCCAATGAATTAACCCAGAGTTGTCACACAAGGCATAAATGAGTAGGCTCAAATGATCCTACTTAAAACACATTATGCAAAGTCCTAGCTCTCTAGAGAAGGTTCTGACAGAGCAGGGGTGGGCTGCTACCACTTTGCACCAGTTCAGGTGAACCGGTTGTTAATTTTATGGCCAGTTCGGCAAACCAGCAAATCCCACCCCTGGCAGGCCCTGATCACTCAACCACGTCCATCCCAAGAGTCTCTATGCAGCCCATTTTGGATCGCAGGTAAGTGCAGGGTTCGTGTGGAGGCTCAGGGAGGGCAAAAAATGGGCCTCCTGAAAGTTTTGGAGTACGTTTTCGCTCTCCCAGAGACTCGAGGAAAGTCTCTGGAGCCCAGGGAGGGCAAAAAACAGACCTCCCAGAAGTTCCGGAAGGCCGGAAATGGTTCCAGCCTCCAGAGAGCCTCCGGAGCCCAGGGAGGGTGAAAATGCCCCCCATGGCTCGTTTTCACTCCCAGGGTGGTGCAGGAGGCTGACTAGGCCATGCCCACTATGTGGTGCTCACCTAGCAACTGGGCAGCCCACCCCTGTGACAGAGTAGAAAGAAAAAGCAGAGGACACCAGAACAAGGTGAATGGACTCACAGTGCCAATGTGTACCACTTGACAACCCGAAGAACCAGGTTAGGGAGAAAATCTATGTGGCTGCTAAGAACTGACATTGATAAGATGACTTATAATCAATTAATCAAAATAAAATAAAATTCAAACTGTAAACAATGAAAGCAACTATTAAGAACATTTTTAAATAACAAAATAGCAACAGCATTTTGCTACCCTGGCTACAACAATAACACAATATATTACAGAGACCTTCTTTATGGAGAAGGAGAGGACTGGAGATCACCCACGTGTGCTCCAGATGGCTGCTCTTCATAAGAAGACCATAGGATAGTGATTTTCTGCAGGTCTGAGCACCAGGACAAGATAGGATTAGACATCTTGCTCATCTGCAAAAGACTTTTTTGTCTTTTTGTCTTTCTTTAAAAGTCTGGTAGAGATTTTTAAAGGATGCTAAGTTTGCAAACCTCACTTTCTAATCATTTTTGGAAATTGCTCATTAACTATTTCTAAGCTATTAGAGACTTTCAGACTGACAAGTTTGAAAATGCCACATCAATTTACCTTTAATCCTGAATGAAATAAAAAATTAATCATAAGCTAAAGAATGTAAAGAATATGAAATAGTGAAAAGCTAAATAAGTTTTTGATCTTAGAAAGTTTGAAAAGGACTAAGGGTCCAGATAAAATTGGAATAATAACAATTTTGCAATAAAATTTTGAAATATAATTAATACTAATGCTTTTATTGGGTGGTTGATGACTATAATAAAATATAATCATGGTTATCAACCAGCAAACAAAGGCATTAGGAATTAATTATAAAGGGCAAAAAGCTGTTTGTGGGAAATAGATTGTATTTTGTTTTTTATAAGACAAAACAAAGATAATTAATTTCATGATTTTAAAAACTCTATACCAAAGGGGACCAAAGACAGAGGAAAGATTTATAAACCTGCAAAATGTTTCAAAATGTACTAAAAATGAAAATGTTGAAGGAGACTGAATCAGAAAATAGTAGCTACAATATCAACAATGTCAATAATGATGTCTGTAAATAAACCATGTCCAAAATATGTCACTGAAGAACTGACAAATGTAGAACAATTTTTATCTGACTAGATAAAAATCATATCAAAAGTGGGTGTATAATTTATAGGCCAAGTGAATGACTAAGAAAAGGCTATTTCACTGGATCTACAAAGAAGTTGCCTGAGAGTTTATAATTTAAAAGGGAACTACAAATGACAAACCAAGAAAGTGATCTAGATAACTTTTTCTTATTGGCTTTATAAATGAGGCTTGTTAAATCTTGAGGAACTCAGGAAAATAGCATGTGGAAGTTGGTTCGTTTGTCAAGGCTAAAACAAAATATATTGTTACTTTTGGCAAGCATTTATGAACTTTCTGGTCACAGGAGGGCTGAAATGGTGATGTTCATGGATTTGTTTATAAATAAGAGATGGGATATGGAATGAAGAGATAAATGTAATCTTGGAGGGGGTGAAGCATCATTAAATCTGACTACAGTTGTGATGAAAGTTGGAAGTCACTTTATATATTTATTTTATTTTATTATATTCTTACTTTTCCTTCTCTTTTTTATTTTTTCTTGCATATTTTATTACATCTTTCTATTCGTTCTTTTTTTAGTATGTATTAGGTTTTTGCAATTATACACACACACATAATTAATTTTAATTAATTTAAATTTAAAGTCATTCTGATTATATGATTATAATCAAAATTTTATATATAATATATTATATAATGGATGCAGACTGAAACCCTAACAGCACAGCAATGTCTAAAATGCCCATGCATTCCACAGTACATATTTTTGTATTTAGCAGCCTGCTTGAAAAAGAGAGCATAAACAATGCATAAAAAGCACAAGGACAATATATTACAACACCAGAACTTTCTTATAGTACAGAATGCAAAAACAACAGTACATTTACATAAGGGATGCAGTCTGCTTTGATAGACCCAAAATGGTTCTCAATCTCTGAGTTTATGTTTTCCTGATTTACCCTTTTACCCAAACTGTTCTCTCAAAAATAAGCCAACAACTGAAACAAATATGAATTATATTTTATGGCTTCGAGATAGAAATCCTGTGCTACTTTACTTTGTCATAAAAAAAGGAATTTCAAACAAAATTAATCAGTTTGTTAATAAGTAATTAATTCTTAAGCACTTGTTGCAATATGATCAAACTGTATTTTAATTAGTAGAACTAATATTGTACTTACTTCTTTCTGAATGTACCCAGGAAGCGTGAAATAAATATTAATGTTATGAAACAATTCTCCATATTGCATGAAAATTAAAAGGTACTCAAAAATAATGTGACAGTCTTCTTTAAATATTATTCAAATAAATTATAAAAGCCGAAATGATTCAGAATTAGTTCCTATTGCTGTAACAACTTCTCTTATTGATTCATCTAAGATGAATGTGTAGTATACTATCCTGAGGAAATGCTAATATGCTACAATATCTGATATAAATATGCAAAACACTCTGGAAATAAAAAAGTAGGAATTAATTTTCAATGGCACATTCAATATTTTATCACTGCATTGCACTGAATGTGTACGATAATAGTTTGGATTGATGTTCCTAAATCAAGTCTGTCTAGAACACGTCCCATAATTCTTATAAATTATGACATTATGATTGTGAATTACAGGACAGGAAAACTATACACTTGAAGGCAGCAGGTTGGAGACATTTCTTAAAATACACCCATACAATCCATTACTTTGTCTCTCTCCCTCATTCACACAGAGCACTCACTTTTTACCCTGCATTTCTTTTCAATAGTACCTCAGTTTTACTGTATCAGCCACTGACCATTTCTAATTATCAAACTCAATAATATAGAAATGTAATAAAAAGAATGGAAGTAAACTTTATTTTAGCCATGTACCAAAGAACAAAACAAAGAAGCAACAAACTGCAATAATAGTTGTTACTTATTATGTATTAAGTTCTCGATAATTCAGTAATTAATCTAACTTTCTATTTACCAGAGTTCCTTTGCAATATCCAGAACTATTATTGCTGTCACAAAATGGGAAGTGTCTTCTAAGAAACTAAATTCACTGGAACAATGGATTTCAGGAATCTTTCCTGGCTCATCTCTTAAATGCATAATTAATTACTTTCTGTCCCATTCAGATTACTTGTTCTTACTCAGTGGCAGGAAACCATCTGGAACTATGAATATAGAAAAGGACTATGTGAGAGAGAAAGCATTAGATTCTGCAGATATAAAGACTTCTATTTTTTTTCCCAAAAAGCCATTACGATAAAAAAAAAAATTAGATTCTTGCAATAGCCTTTTATTTGCAGTTTTGTCTTCTTAGTTCTTTTATTTTCAAGTCTGATTCTTTAAAATGTTGTTAAATGAATTAACTGGGAAACTAGCATAGTGACCAATAGCATCTCAGTAAATAAAATCCATAGGCAATCTTGGAAAATAATAGTGTGAAATGCCCCAACCATATTTAAAGAAAAGGTAGGGGAGGAAATGATGGTGAAGAGTTCCTGGATGAGAGGGGTGAGTGATAAAGTCTAACCCACTCTGCCTTGTTGGTTTGCCTTTTGAAATGGATTTATGTCCACTGGTTGGAGTATGCCTAAGTGTGCATATTTGAGTTGGGGGAGAGAAACATTGTGTATTTTATCTATATTTTAGTTTTTATCAGGAAGACATTTTTTGCCTGAGGTACCTTTTGTAATGGGGAAAGATGTTCTGCTTCTGTTATAGGTTATGTACATGTTTATTTCTTGGAATAGAGCTGGCTTTCTTTCTTTTTTTTTTCTTTATTCCTTTATTTATAAACAATTGTGCTGAGCTTTTCGATGAAAAATGATGTTTCATTGACCAGCAGCTATTTTATAAGTTTGCAGATAAAAATGTTTTCAACATGTCAAATATTCCACAAGTCAAAAGAGCAGAGACCCTTGTATGATAACAAATATTAGATAATCAATTATCTCTCTTCCCTTGATTGGCAATTTCTATTCACTGGATGCAATACTGTTGAAGACCATTACAACATGTTCTTACCAGAAATCAAAAGAGCCATCAAACTATATGTACCAATAACAACTCCCAAAACCAGGAAAAAACAGATTACCCATAACAATAAGCAAGCTTCAATCCAAAAAGAGATCACTTTGTCAAAAAAACAAATCTGGTCACGTTGCCAACTTCAAAAGCTGATACAAAAATCTATGCCACCAGATAAAAACTGAATGCACTAATTATCACATTAAACAAGAGGAAAACCTACGCACAAATTCCACCCATGCTTTCTACAATTTTGTAAACAACAAACTAAAAGACTCAAGGTCCATCCCACCCCTGAAAGGACCTAATGGCAAAGACTGCCACCATGACACCATCAAAGCAAACCTCTTTAACACATTCTTTGGCTCAGTATTTGTAAACAGCAATGGATCAAGCCCAGTACTTCCTAGTTGAACCACAGACAACTACAATGATCTAATACATATCAATTTTACAAAAGATATTGTTGAAAAAGCACTGCGCAATCTAAAACCATCCCTATCTATTGGACCGGACGGGATATGTGCCTACTTCTTAAAAAAGCTATCCACTGCCATAGTCGAACCTCTAAGCATAATCTTTGAAAAATCTTTCAGGTCCAGCTCCTTGCCAAAACTATGGTCACAAGCCATGGTCATCCCCATCTTCAAAAGGGGAGACCCCAGCCTAGTTGAAAATTATAGACCAATCTCCTTATGCTGCATCACCTGTAAAGTCATGGAATCAATTATTAACCAATTCATTATCTTCCACTTAAGAGACAAACAACCTACTCTCTAATAAACAATTTGGTTTCAGAAAAAGCTATCCTGTAATCTGCAATTCTTACACTGCAAAAACATATGGACTACACAACTCGATCAGGGCAAAGCAATAGACGCAATCTACATAGACTTCTGTAAAGCCTTTGATTCAGTGGTACACGACAAACTACTCCTAAAACTAAAATCTTATGGTATCTCTGGACAACTGCATAACTGGATAGAAACATTCCTGTCAAACAGACAAAAAATGGTCAAAATTGGGAGTGTCCTATCAAATTCTGTACCTGTCAATAGTGGTGTCCCCCAAGGCAGTGTTTTAGGGCCAAGTCTCTTCATACTCTACATAAATGACCTCTGTGATCATATTAAGAGCAACTGCGTTCTCTTCGCTGATGATGTAAAGCTATTCAACACCACAGACAATACTACTACCCTCCAAAAAGACCTTGACTATGTATCAGAATGGTCAATCAAATGGCAACTTCAAATCTCAACAAATAAATGCTCTGTCTTACATAATGGCAAAAAATATATATCAGAAAATAAAATACAAGCTAAATAGTCAAGACCTTGTTGAGGATCCAAACTCTGTCAAGGACCTTGGAGTACTCATCTCTAATGATCTAAGTGCTAGAGTAACTACATAGTACATAGTAACTACATAGTAACTGCATAGTAACTACATAGCCAAAAAGGCATTAAGAGTTGTTAATCTAATCCTATGTAGCTTCTTCTCTGGTAATATCACACTACTAACTAGAGCATACAAAACATTTGCTAGACCTATACTTGAATACAGCTCATTAGTCTGGAACCCATATCATGTATCTGATATAAACACAACTGAAAAAGTCCAGAAATATTTCACAAGAAGAGTTCTCCTCTCCTCTACTCATTGAAGAATACCTTATGCCACCAGACTTGAAACTCTAGACCTAGAAAACCTAGAACTACGCCGCCTCCGGTCCGATCTAAATATAGTATATAAAATCATACATTGCAATGTCCTACCTGCAAATGAATACTTCAGCTTCAATCATAACAATACAAAAGCACACAATAAACTCAAGGTTAACCGCACCAAACTTGACTGCAGAATATACTTCAGTAACAGAGTGGTCAATGTTTGGAATACTCTACCTGACTCTGT